GAGCTGGCTGCATCCTATAAACACCGGCTCGGTGCATCCCTTCTCCCCGCTGCTTTGCTTCATACCCCCAAAAATGTGGGGCTGCTTTGTGCATGCTTTCCCCCCCCTTTCACCCCTAAATCCCCCCCTCCTCGAAATCCGAGTGGAGAACCCCCTCATAAGGAAATAGGGGTGGTTTTCCCCCTTTTGGGGGGTCTCTCCCTTTTTTGGGGGTGCAGAGCTCAAGAGGGGAGCTGCAGCAAGCATTTGTGGGGGCCCTTTACCCTGGGGTGGGGGGGAAATGGGGTTCAAAGTCTGGAGGCGCCGCTTGGCAACACATCTGGGCACCCCACACCTGCCAGAGGGGCTCAAGACACCCCCAAAAAAACGCAGACCCTGTCGGCTGTGGCCGTGGGCCACCAGCACAACCACGAGGTGAGCAGGGACGGGGTGGGGCGGGGGGGACGACAGACGATTCGGTGGCACCTTGGCCGTGCACGCGCCGGGACCCGGTGAGGGCAACACTATTTTGGCCACCGGGTATTTAAAGCTGCTGTTTGGCAGCTCGGCCCCGTATAGATGCTATAAATAACGGTGCGAAGACGGGGAGGGGGTGACTGGGGTGCGGAGCCATGACACCAGATCCGGACACCCCTCGGGATCAGTGTCACCCAGCCGGAGCCAGGGTGGCTTCGTGCCACCGACGAGCAACGGGGTTTTGCACACCGGGGTGGGAAATTTTGCCAGAGTGGGGTGCACCATTCCTGCTTTTCCCAAATTTCCTCTCTTCCCCAGAGCATCTCCGGGGCTTTCGAGAGCATCTACAAGCAGCACGGGGTGGCGGGGCTGTGGCGGGGGGTGACGGGCGCCGTGCCCCGTGTGGCGGTGGGCTCGGCTGCGCAGCTCGCCACCTTCACCTCCGCCAAGGACTGGGTCTGCGAGCGCCAGGTGAGGAGGAACACGCGCCGGATTCGGCCGCCGCCAGCCCCCCCCCCCCCCCCCCCTTTTTTGGGGGGGGGGGGGAGGCGGCCGCGC